TATATATATATATATAGACTGAACAAAATTATAAATGCAACACTTGTTTTTGCCCCCCTATTTCTCTCAAATATTATTCACAAATCTGTCTAAATCTGTGTTAGTGAGCACTTCTCCTTTGCCGAGATAATCCATCCACCTCACAGGTGTGGCATATCAAGATGCTTATTAGACAGCATGATTATTGCACAGGTGTGCCTTAGGCTGGCCACAATAAATGGCTGGCCATTCTATTTCTTTTGATTAATTTATTTTTTAATTATATACATATATTTTTTTACAGTATTACAGTGTATTACAATACATTACAGTTCAAAAGTTTATAGTCAGTAAGATTTTTTTAGACATTAATGCTTTTATTTAGCAAAGATGCATTAAAGTGATTAAAAGTGACAGTAAAAACTTTAAAATTGGTATGTACATTGATAATAATAATATTTTTTTCTTTAGCAGCAAATCAGCATATTAGAATGATTTCTGAAGGATCAGGTGACACTGAAGACTGGTGTAATGGCTGCTTAAAATTGAAAAAAATATATAAAAATAAAAAACTGATTTTAATTTTAAACGTAATATTGTACTGTATCTTTGATAAAATAAATGGTGAGCATAAGAGACTTTGACTTTATTGCATAAGAGTCTTTGCATTATTGCCTGTTTAAGTTGACTCCGATATGACTTGCCTCCCATCTCTGCTCCAGCTTATCTTCAGTTCCTCTGTCTTTTTGTAAAAATACCCCCATTAGAGCTGTGAATCGTAAGGCATTTTCTTGCTTTTGACCCACACAACGGTTTCCCTGACCTGTAATATTCTTTAACCTGACATCACACGGGTGGAGTTATTTTTAAATGCTTATTAGACTAATGGGTCATTATGAACATTTAAGAGGATGGTCAAATGAGCTCTGCTGATGCTGGCTCTTCAAGAAACAGCTATCAGTGTGACTTGCATATGACAAAGCAAATACTTTATGTCTGTATGATGTTAGAAGGGATTTCTCCCATCTGTGTCTAATGACATTATTAAGGCCACAGTCAGAAAAAAGTACAAAAGCTGTCACTGGGGCAGTACCCTTTTAAAAAGTGCACCTTTGTACCTTATTTCTCTTTAAAGGATGCATATTAGTACCTAAAAATGTACAAAGGGGACCACCCTAGTGACAGCGTTTATGCCATTATTTCTGAGATGGCAAAGTGTAAGAGTGTAAGGCCAGAAATTAGGTTGTTTTCAGCCTAAGGCCCTTAACAGGGCTTAACATACTTATGATGTTGTCTTCAGCACACTTTGGTTTGATCAAGGAGAGATGATCACACACGCCCAATAAAAACAGCAGTACACATTTAATGAAGAGAATAATTATAGTTAGGCTCGTACACAGCACAGAGTCCTATTCTCTCTTTCTCTGTCTGTAATTATCTGAATGCATTGGTCTCATCTGCTGATCCTTCAGTCAAGATCTTTTCTCTTTTGTTTATGTTTCGCTAAAGATCCCAATCTTCTATCTTACTCTGGCTTTATTCCTGTCTTGCCAACATCTTTCTGTCTGTGTGTGTCTGTCTCTGTGGTAGTGAGGTCCTAGAAGGCCTCATTATGTGTGTTAGTTTGTACAGGTTCCCCAGAGACTCTCCCTCGTGTGCCATCCGTGCCATTTGCTCTACAACTTTATCCATATCTGCCCTGAAGTTACACCGGGATAAAAAGCTTAAAATTGCACTGGGTAATATGTAGGGTGGAATATAATTGTATTTTACTCGCAAATGCCAGATAAACCGGTGACTCTAGATCGCTCATGACATTAGATTTTAAAGGGGTCATATGATGTTGCTAAAAAGAACATTATTTTGTGTATTTGGTGTAATGAAATGTGTTTGTGGTTTAAGGTTAAAAAAACACATTATTTTCCACATACTGTACATGATTGTTTCTCCTCTATGCCCCGCCTTTCTGAAACGTGTCGATTTTGACAAAGCTCATCGTTCTGAAAAGCGAGATGTGCTCTGATTGGCCAGCAATCCAGTGCGTTGTGATTGGCCAAATACCTCAAGACGGAAGTGTTACGCCCCTTACCATACGGTGATGCCGTGTCCCGGAGCGATGAGACAAAAACATGAAAACCCATTATAAA